TTATTTGGGGGCACTTTCTCACCAAAGACTATCAAGGCCTTTCAAACCCCTAGGCAAGCATTGATAGCACAACCAAGGGCAGTTAACTGTTAACAACGTGCAAGAAAGTATTTAGACCATACAAATTAGCCAGATTAAAAGATACCACCGGTCGTGGTTCCTCCAGTCAGCTTACTTTGGGCCAGCTTCATGGGGAGACCAGAGTTCAGATCAGGAAGAGGTAGGTTTCTGTCGATGCCTTCGAGCTTAATGATCTCAGAAAACCTCAACCAATTGCAAAGACCAGGCTCAGACACTGGTGGTCAGGAGACCCACATCTAACCAGAGAAAGTCCTCTTAACTACAAAGGCAACAGCAGTTCAACATGACTTTCAGCTTTAACCCAAACACATGAGGATCCCACACTAGCAAAGATGAATAAGCAGGACCCAGTGTCCGGTTAAGTAGAACACCAGGCTTCCTACTCAGAAAAGGTCTCACAGAATTCAATTCTAGCCAAATATTCCTGTTCAAATTTGCCTTCCCCCAGGAGTCTGAGGAAAACAGAAAATTCTGCAGACTTAATTGTCAGGTTCTGACCGAAAATAAACTACAACATATTAGACCTGAAAGGTCAGGAGAGCAGATTTTTTTTTTCTTCTTTAAACATTAACCCACTTCACCTCGGGCTGCATTTATTAAACACCTAACAACTATCAGAACGGATCCTCATTCACAACTGTAACCTTTTCTCACTGATACAGTAAACTCCACATCCAGTGGCCAGTTATCTTTGCAAATAGAATGCCTGAGTCATGGAAATAAGTTATCTCTTCAGGCACATTGAGAGACTGGCTATTTTATTATTATTAAAATAAAGTTCTGACCATTCTCAAACCACTTGCCTTTGGTATGTTGATTGATTCAGAGCAAGTGATCCTTATAAAAATCCTCAGTTCGGGGACTGAGAAGACTGCTCAGAAGCTGCTCTTAGAGAGGACCTGGGTTCCAGTTCCCAGCACCCAGAGTAGCTTACGACTGCAATGTACCCTGGTTCCAGGGTCCAGCACCCTCTTGTGAGCATCAGACACACACACAGTGCACAAACACACAAGGAGGTGGACACTATACAAGTAAGATCGAGTCCAGTTCTGCCATCAACATTTACTGGTTTGAATTTTTCTTTGTTTGAAGGCAACTTCATCCACAAAAAAGGACTCAAATCTGGCACACAAATGGGCCTCAGAAAACATCCTAGAGGTGATCTATATTAAACCACCAAGACCTGTTAAGTTCAACACCTGCACACAGTATGTACCAGCGCTAACACTGCTGGTCCTTCACAGATGTCATTCATCAGTACAACATTACACACACACACACACACACACACACACAGAGCTGGAGACAAAACCCAAGCCTTACACAGGCTAAGCAAAGCACTCTACCCCTAAACTACATGCTCAACGCCCTCCTAAGACCTACTACTTGATACAAGCATTCCCCCCAAAATACATCTTAACTGCACTATTAACAAATGAAATGAAGAGGAGACGACTTAGGCCAGTTTACACCAGTACAAGTCACATTTGCTTCCTTTTTTTACTTTTTTCTTTTTCTTTTTTTTTTTCTTTAGAAAATCTCTCAATTCAAACAGGAAACAGAACAATCCATAACGACACATGATATCTTCCATTGGTAGGACCACGAAACACACCGAGCGTGGAATACATTGTTCTAAACAGCGGAGGGTTATCAGCAGGGGACATCTCCTTGTGCTTGGTGGCAGCTGAAGCATTTTCAAAAATTACAACACACCAGCCAAACAAGCTTTCCTATATCTCCAACTACACACAGCCATGTGGTCAGACGGACTCGCCCCAAGAGGGCTGATCAGGCATTGCTAAGGAAGGGCAGTCACAAGAAATAAATGAGAACCAGATCTGAACTTTCAAAGGACAAGTATCTGGGGAGCGGGGAGAGGGGAGAGAGAGGGGGAAGAAGAGGAAGGAACGGGTGTGAAGACCTTCTTGAAGGAAGGACTTGCTTCCAGGCCTATTTAAGCTCTCCTGGGAGCTCCTTCAATATTGGAAAGGAGATAGCCCTTCAGAGCTAGCTAGATCTTGGTCTATCTTGGACTATCTTCCCCCAAGAAGACAATATCTTTAAATACTCTTTCAGAAAACTCGTCAGAAAATGTTTTAAATATACCAAGTATCTACAGCCTGGGTAGATTGCTCTGTGGTAGAGCACTTGCCTAGCCTGTGCGCGGCAGGGTTTTGAGCCAGCCAGTACCAAATAAATAAATATCAACAAACAAACAAACAATCCCTGCTAGCTCTGCCACTCCTCAAACCAGCTGGAAGCAAAAGGAGAAAGTGATAAAGTTCCAGTCAGAGCCCCAGAGAGAAACCAATAACACGAGAGACTCTCGAAGACACCTACCTGGAAACAGTTCATGGTCACAGTAAGCTTTTATCTCTATCTCGCTGTGCAGAGAGAGACAGCAGTCTCCTCAGCACCAGCCTTCTCCTCTGGGAAATATGAACAGGGAGGGGCAGAAGTGACCTGAGTAGCTTTTATAAGGGGCGGGGTTTCTAGTTCCCACCCCAGCTTCTCTACAGAGTCATTCAACTTGCTTTGCATAAGTGACCCAATGGGTTGTTTATACCCAAGTAGGAGAAGAAGATGTAATTCCCCATGGCCCCAAAAAGGACTGGAAGGTTACATCATAATAAGAAAGAAGGTACTGACCACCGGGGGCTGCCACTCACTGAGAACTTATTATGTACTGGGCCCTGAGCCCCAGGAACTCCCTCCTGGAATGCAACCATTATCAGCCCATTTTTACAAATAAAAGCTGAGGCAAAGACGAACGTGCTTCAGGACACAAGGCTGCCGTATTCAAAATGGGACTTGATAGTTGGATGAAGGAGAGCACATCCGTTTGTCATCTAGTGCTTAAGGCAATCTCATGCTGGAGGTCTACCTGGGCTAACGGAGCCCCTGCATCGAGGACACAAGCCACAAATAAATACAGAAGCAGGACTGAAGCTAGAGTCTCACATTAGAATGCAAACATTTCACCACTTGCCCAAGACAGTGTCTAAACAGAAACATAGTAGAAATACTTCATTATGGGAAGTAGGGAGGAGGGTAGTGAGCTTTAACTTGGTCACCAGAAGTGTTTATTCTATTGACACAATATTGGCCCATTCCTTTCATGTCCTCCCTGAAGCTTGTCTCCCTGGCTAAGTTTCACTGAAAACAGGTTGTGACATTCTGTCCAGGTGTGCCAAGAAGTCCTAGCTATACAGCAAGGGCAAGAACAAGCCGGAGGCAGACTTCCTCTTGGGACACTCATGCTCTCGGGTTTCCACTCTGCTTCAATACTGAGAGGTGTCACTGAATGCAAACTGGACAAGCGCAGCCCCACAAGCAGGCACTGAGCCTCAGGAGCCTGTAGGCCTGCGGCCACCCCCACAGGCGGGAAATACAGCATTGAAGCTACTGTGGTTTCCCAGTTCCCCACAGGAGCTTGGTTACAGCAGAGAGACTGAGAAGAAATGCATTGTCTTCTTAGGGCATCCAGCCACATTAATGTCACTGGACAGGAAGAAGCAGGAAACCTGTGTCTTCAAGCAGAAAGGGAAAATGGCAAGGCAGCAGGAGCCATCATCTAAGGAGACTTGTACCAAGCAGGCAGCTATCACTCTGGGCGCTCCCGTGTTGGCTCTGCTGGCCTTGGCGCAGAGAGCTGGAACCAGCCCCAGCAGGTCTCAACTCCACCTGAGCTAACACATGGCTCCTTAATGCTCTGTGCCATGTGTTGATCTTGCAACAGAATGTGGGACAGAAGATTTAAAGAGCTGTGTGATTGGGGGAAGGGCAGCCAGATCACCTTACCCAGGGCCTACTTAATCAGGCCTCCTCAGATTCCCTATAGATGCTAGGATTACTATCTAACTTGTTGGTGGGGGAATGGGGGGGGGGGTGTTCCCCTAAATGGAAAAAAAAAAAGAAACAAAACAGCAGCGTTCCAGTTTGAAGGGGAGCGGGAGAGGCTCCAGAGAGTACAGGCAGAGCACACACACTCAAGTCCCACACCGAAGGTAATGCCTTCTGACCTCCATAAGGCTCTCTCACAAGTGGGGGTGCCAGCTGAGTACACTCAGGGGACCCAAAAGCTGGAAACTGGTCCTGAGGAAACTAAACAGAACCAGAATGTACTGTGGGGGGGGGGGACATCCAAATTAAAGTGAAGCTGGGTAACACACCATACACACACACCCTCCACCCCACCCCATCAGACAGGCAAGCAGTGCCCAAACTAAAAGGAGAGGAGGCGGGGCAGGATGACCCCTGCAGACTTCCTCACACCCACAGACATCCCACTCCCAGGGCCTGCAAACGCTGCTGCTGCCTTACAATCTCCTGCATGCAGGTGGGGAAACTGAGGCCTCCGGAACAAATTGTCGTGCTTTCCGCTACCAGGTTCTAGTTCGCCTCTCTAACCAGATTCTTCACTTGGATTTTTTTTTTTGTCACAGCTTTTATGCCTATCCAGTTTCTCCTGGTATGAACACCGCTGTTGCAAAGTGAATCTTAAATACAATCAAGGCTGAACTCCAAAAGGAGCCGAGGGCAGTCGGTGAGTCCAGTAAGGGTTTATTTACTGCACCAGGAGAATCTACTTCCTCCCACACGGGGCTCATACCCTCACGGTCCTCCCTCGGGACATCGGTGTGCGGCCACCTCACACCGTCCACCCCCACCCACCGCCCGCACTGCAACTCGAGGGCGGGGGCATGGGGCCGCCCTGGGGATCCCTGGGATCCGCTCGGGGTCCCCGGCTGGGACAGAGGCGGGGGACTGCGGTCAGCTGGCCCAGCCTCGGGGCCGGGAACTTCTGGCTGCACGGTCCCCCACAACCGCGGCGCGCGTGCAGCTCCAGCCCGGGGTTCCCTTTCTTTGCCTGGCTCGCTGCGGGCGCGACCCCCGGAGGCTCGGCGGCCACTCACCATATTACAGATGGAGGCGATGTTTCGGACAGTCATTAGTCTAAAGGTTGCAGCGATCGCGCACCGCCATCTTTACCAGGGGAAAACGGGACTGTCCATGGTGGCGCGCAGCGAGGCCGGGTGGCGGCGAGGCGGCCTGGGGCCGGCTTGCGGTGGGGTTGGGCGAGCGAGGCCGGGCGGCGGCGAGGGCGGGGCGGCGGCGCGGGGCGGGGAGTGGCGGAGCGACGCAGCCGGGGCCGCGGCCGGCGGGAGGAGGAGCCCGGAGCCGGGAGGCGCCGAACCGGGGCCGCCGCTACGCTCCCGCCGCCCGCCAGGACTCGTTCTGCCAACCCGGCTGGAAGCCGTACTCGCTCCTCTGCCCTAGAGTCCTGCTCCGTGCCAGCTGCACCGCGAGGCCAGCCGCCAGCGAACCCAGCACCGCGGCCTTCGCGCCGGACCCAGGACCGCACCGGGCACTGGACGCTGGCCGATCGTGGGCTGGGGACCTACACCGCGGGGACACTGACATTCTTGCTTTCCGATTTCCCTCTGCCTGTTCCTGCTGGTCTCCTACAAGCCTTGGGCTTTAGGGGTTAGCTAGTGGAGGATCTGAGTAAGGGCTTAAGGGAGTAAGAGTAAGGGTGACTGTAGTTCAACTTTTAAGTTTCTCTCTAGGGTTCTAGCCAGATGGCATCCGCCGGAACCCGAAAAGTAAAATGAGACCAGGACATGGGCGTGGCCAGAAAGCCCTGGCCAGCAGCAATCCAGCTGCCTGGGAAAAGGTTCCCAGAAAGGAAAGAATTCCGCGTCTAGGCACACACACTGGGGAGATTTGTGACATTAGCAGGTACAGAGGAAACGGCCAGGTTCTGGGCGGTACTAAAGGCTGTCCAAGAAATACCAGAACAAAACTTTCGTATCCCCCATCCCCGGAGCTCCTGATCTCAGTTTTGTGAGACTGAGTGCTGTTTTAGCTTTCACACGTTCCTGCAGAGGCCCGAACTGCAGGCTCAGTATGCACATTGTACACCGCTTGAAGGATACGTCCCTGAGAATTGAAAGAGTCCATTTCAAACGTGGGCGATAACTGTGCAGACAAGTTTGCAGTCCCACGCTTTCCACAGGGAAGCTGTGCATGTGTGACGTGATAAATTCTCGAACCAATGTATTTTGTGGGAAATTAAATTAGGAGAGAAATTAATATAATTGAAGACAGTTTTGTCTGGCCAAGAGTAACATACTGGGGGTGGGGGGTGGGGTATACACACAACACGTGAGAGCCATCCATCCATTGGTAATTCTCCTAGGACCTGGGGTGGGAATAGAAGACAAACACTACTGACTGAAAGTTGGGGGTGGGGGATCACGTGGATACTGTATTTTTTGGTGTGTAAAGGGATTAATATTTCTGCTCGAAATGAGTCATTCTACCTGAATTTTATTGTCATTCTTTTTTTACTGCTGTCAGTTACGATTCTTTCAGCTTCTACACTATTAATTAACAGATACAGTTAGCTCCACAAGGCTTACAGAGCAGTATCCAACCAGCTCTGTGTTACCCAAATAGTACAGATGCTGAACTTAAGTTGGGCACCATGTCAGGGTATGTGTGTGTGTATGTGGGTGGGGGGGAGAACATTGATAAAACATCCAAACTATGACTGGCCAGAACAGTAAGGTCCTGAAAAGCTTAAAGACAGAGAAATGTCACACTCTGAAGGCCTCAGCTTTACGCATGGTTAGTCTAAAGCTTTAAATGTGCATGCTTTCTGATGATAAACTTAGTGACTCCTTCCAATATGAATGCACTGAGATGCCAGGACTACAGGAGTTAAAACACAATCGAGAGCTGGGGGATGGCTCAGTCAATAAAGTGCTTACCGCACAAGCGTGGGTCCCTAAGTTCAAGCCCCCAGAGTCCAGACCCACACATAAAGAAACATGGTCACAGTGTATAACTATCCTGGTGCTAGAGAGGCAGAGAGAGAATACATGGGGCTTGTGTTTGCTGGCCAGCCAGCCCAGTCAAATCACAAGCTACAAATTCAGGACAGACCCTCTTTCAAGTAAAGTGGAAGGGATAGAGATGGCTGGATGGTTAAGAGTGCATACTGATCTTCCAGAGGACCTGACTTCAACTCCCATCACCCATGTGGGGTGGCTCACAAACAGCTGTAACTTTAGCTCCAAGGGATTCCACGGTTTCTGGCTCATGGCACCTGTATCATATGCACAAACCCACCTACACACACACACACACATAGTTAAAAATAAAATAAATCTTAAACAAAAAATAAGGCAGAGAGGGAGACATCCAACACCAGCCTCAGGCTTTGACACACACAATGTACTCACACACGTGTTTACACACATAAACACCACTGGCACAGTGAAAACAGCCAGCGCCTGACTCTAGGTGCTATGGTAACAAGAAAAAGGGTTGTTTGTGTGCCCTCTAAGCACCTAAAACTAAGTAGACAATGTAGACAGACGGGTTGAAATCTGGATGTGGTGTATAATCCAGCTCTCAAGAGGTTGAGTCAGAGAGACTGCCACATGTTCAAAGCCCACCTAGGCTATATAGTGAGCACCAGGCCAGCCAGGAAGAGGTAGGAAGATCCTGTCTACCTCTGGAAGAAAAAAAAAAGTTGAAAGTTAGGCTGCGGGTTAGTCAGCAAATCAATTGAACATAGCAGAGTTTATCTAACTCATGAATGATTAAATGTGTTTTGCAATTCAGCAAGGTTGATATTCACAAGTCTCAATTACAGAAGGCTCTTGGAAAACTGTAACCTTGGCTTCAACTGAGTGAGGAACTATCACAGGTAGGAAGAGGTAAAAGCTCACAGATGGTGCCTAGCTAATGACGGGATTTTAAGGGGAAGTATTTCTACATATAGACTACAGCTAATGTGAGATCTATGGTGAGCCAAGAAATGGAAAAATGGCTTCTAGGCCAGCATCAACCTAAGAGGAACAGGGGGAGGCAGCCACTCCAGGTAGTGTTCTTCCTGCTGTAAAGTGCGACCCATGGGCCAGCACTAGCATCACCTAGGATGTGGTAACTTGGACCCATCTCAGAACAGGTATAACTCTGCCTCAGCCAATCTTTGTGCTAGAATTCACCATGTGCCCACCCTGGAATTATTCTGTTTCATCCAGTAGTCACTGCCAGACCTACTATGGGAAAGTTCCCTCTCTCATGTTCTATTCCTACACAAAACATCATGACCAAGAAGCAAGTTGGGGAGGAAAGGGTTTATTCAGCTTACACTTCCACATTGCTGTTCATCACCAAAGGAAGTCAGGACTGGAACTCAAGCAGATCAGGAAGCAGAAGCTGATGCAGAGGCCATGGAGGGATATTACTTACTGGCTTGCTTCCCCTGGTTTGCTCAGCTTGCTTTCTTATAGAACCCAAGACTACCAGCCCAGGAATGGCACCACTCACAAGGGGCCCTCCCCCCTTAATCACTAATTGAGAAAACATCTTACAGCTAGATCTCATGGAGTCATTTTCTCAAGGGAGGCTCCTTTCTCTGTGATAACTCCAGCTTGTGTCAAGTCGACACACAAAATCAGCCAGTACACATGCTCAAACCCTAGGGTTTATGTGTGTCTTACCTTGTACCTGGAGTCAGAAGGAGGCCTCATGGCCCAGCTACAGAGACTGATTTGTTCAGTAAAGAGTCAGCCCTGGGACTTCATGTGCACATGTGAGTGCTGGTACATATGTGTAGGGGTATGTGTGTATAGGCAAGGTTAATATTGGGTGCCTTTGGGGGCTGGAGAAATGGCTCAGTGGTTAAGAACACTGACTGAGTTCAATTCCCAGTAACTACATGGTGGCTCACAACCATCTGTAATGGGATATGATGCCCTCTTCTGGCATATCTGAAAACAGCTACAGTGTACTCATAAGTAAATAAATAACTCTTTTAACAACAACAAAAATATTGCACATCTTCCTCAATGAGTCTCCACCTTATTTTTGAGACAGCACATCTCACTGAAACTGGAGGTCATTAATTTAGCTAGGCTGCTTGGACAGTGAGCCCCAGGGACCCGCCTATCTTTGCTTCTCCAGGGCTGGTGTGGCAACATGCTCGTCTTTGCACATGGGGGCTAGTGATCCAACTCAGGTCCTCGTGCTTCTGTTGCAAGGCCTTTACCCACTGGGCAGTGTTCCCCAGATTCATTACAGGGTCTCATTCTGTGGACCAGGCTGGCCTCAAATTTGAGACAGTTCTATGCCCACCTTCCAAGTGCTGGGACTACAGGTGTGAGCCACCATCATACCTCTTAACCCAGAGACTTTAGTGAGAAAACTAGTCCTGTCCCCATTCCTGCTTCTGAAAACCTGATCCAACATAGATCTAGAGCCAACTTCTTACCCATGACCCAGAATGAAGCCAACACAGGAAAATGGCCCTGAGGCATGGAGGAGAGAGTCTAGCACTGTCCATTCTACTGCTGCCAGATCTAAATCCCAGACTTTTCAGTAACCCAGATTAGTGAAATTCTTCTTTTCCCTGACCAGTTCAAACTGAGTGTCTACCACTGAAGACTCAAAGAATCCTAACATACAAGTATCTCCTGCTCACGAACTCAGGAAGCTCATTCTGAAGCCACAATGTTCCTGTATCTCTAACCAGACAGCTCCAGGTCTGCCTCCTGGATTACTCCCCTCACACGTTCACTGTTCTCCAACCTTCATGAGATATGAAGGGGCAGTCTGGTGTGTTTTGCTCCCATATGACCCGTGAGGAACCAGTGCATTGTCCATTGGAGCCATTAGCCCTCAATCACCATGCAACCAACCAACACGAGACACTCGCAGCTCTCCAGCCTGGGAGCAGCACCGGTGACTTAGGACAAACCCAGACGAAGGGTACTGGAGCTATTCTGATGCTAACAGCGTTTGTGAGCACTGTTTAGGAGAGTCTCTGCCACTTTAGGGTACTGTTAGTACAGAGTAAGGCCAGCTTTGGAGTGAATATAACATCAGAATTCCTCTACTTCAGTGGTTCTCAACTTGGAAGCCAAACAACCCTTTCACAGGGGTTGCCTAAGACCATCGGAAAACACAGATATTTACATTATGTTCATAATAGAAGCATAATTATAGTTAGGAAGTAGCAGTGAAATCATGTT